CAAAAGCAAGCCAGCATCTTTTAATCTTATCTGCCCTACAGATTTGAAAGTCTGACAACTTACTTTATCTCACAGATAGTTAAGAGGTAAATTATCATTGCAAATCCATGTTTCAGAACTGTACCTGGTACCTAGCAATGGCTCAATAAATAGCTAATGAATGGAACAATGAATTTGTATTTGTTATTTTGGCCAATAGGAAAAGAGGGTCTGATGGGACTCACATCCATTCGAGTTTCTGCCTTAGTGATCTGTTTTGAAATGTTATCTAAGAAGAACACTATGAGTTATCTGAGCAAGTTTGAATTATACTGTATTAAGTAGGGTTAACCATTTCCAGTAACAATTTTTTCTACCTGCCATTGTGAATCCCAAACTGTTTTTTGGTATCAGGAATTGAACTCAGGGCCTTCCGCTTACTAGGCAGATGTTGCACCCCTGAGCTACATCCCCAGCCTATGTTTTGTTTTTCTGTTTTTCTTCTGGTACCAGAAATCGAACTCACGACCTTGTGCTTGCCAGGCAGGCGCTTTGCCGCTGAGCTAAATCCCCAGCCCATCCTCAGCCTGTGATGTCCCAATTTTTGCAGGAATAGAAGTGAGAAAATTATCCAACTGAGGCTAGAAATCCCCAAGCTCCTGTTTTGAAGGAATTTAATTTATCACACTACTCTGAGAGAGATTTATTCATTCACCACTAAGGAAGGCAGACCTAAGGTTTTCAAACCTATAATACATATGTTCAGAAAATAACTATAATCTAGACCGATTTTTTTTTTTTTGTCTCAGTACTATGATCCAGTGCTTTTACAACAGATGACTCTGGAAGAAACAGCCATTTAACTGGAAGCTAAGACAGGACCTTTCAGAGCTTTTCTGTAATAAAGATTCTTAAAAAGTTTTGTTAGTTTCAAGTGTGATTTCTGCTTTCAGGTAGACTTGCTCCTACTTTCTCACCTTAAAAGGAACAGATAGCTCTGCTTCAAACTTTGCATAAATTTGATTTTTCAGTCTGTGTTGAACCACATCACCATCGAATGGTGAATGGCGTTACTATGGGTACGTCATACTAAAGGTGGCCCAGAGAGAACTCCTATGCAAGCAACTTTACATCACTCCTGTGGATTAGTAATATTTAAATCCCTTAATTTTTAAATAATATGCTTAGCAAGCACATAATCTGGGTACTAGCTGGGCTTCTAGCAGTTAAGTTTTTGATCAGTTTTTTTTTTTTTTTTTTGCAGCTTGTGCACTTCTTTCATTATTAAATACGCATGAAGCTCCCTATTTTTTAAATAGATATTTAAATGACCTTATATAAAGTAATTCACCACTTCCAAGTATAACAACACACTCTCACGGTTCGTGAGCCAGTGTTCCATCTGGGCTTTCTCAGAGGAAAGTAAGGGATCCTGTGCAGGTAACCAGAAGCGGGGCACCCAGAGGTGGCTCTGGAGCTCCTTCCACTATGTTGTCACCAAGTGCCCACAAAGAGCTTCTGCAATGGGTTGAACTTGCTGTTTTTTTTTTTTTTTTTTGGTTTTTCTCCAGTACCGGGAACCGAACTCACAACCTTGCACCTGCCAGGCAGGCGCTTTTGCCGCTGAGCTAAATCCCCAGCCCTGAACTTGCTGTTTTGATCTTTTAAATACTAGACGTTTAAAGTTGAAGGATGTGGAGGAATGCCTTTTTTTCTCTTTTCTTTCCTTCCATTTTAAAATATATGGTTTCTAGCATGGAATATGAAGTATGTGACTAGATGGATGAGTCGCACAAAAAAGTTCCCAGCTGTCCTTCCCTCAGCTATTATCATCAGGACTGATCAGTTCTGAAGGAGAGGGCTTACCTAGCTTTGAGGACTTTCCTTTTTGGTTTGCAGTTGAGTTTTACTCATCCCAAAGTTCAAGGTAAGGAGAGATAAACCCTGACCTTAAAAGGCAGAAATGAAGGATTCACACAAGTATAGGTGGAATTTGATCAAGGAAGGCCTCACAAACATCTGTGTGTATGTATGTATGTGTTTGTTTTGTCTTTCTGAAACAGGGTCTCACTATGCAATTCAGGATGGCCTTAAGCTCACTTTGTAGCCCAGGCTGGTCTCGAACTTGCAATGATCCTCCTGCCTTAGCCTCTCAAGTGCTGGGATTACAGGTGTGTGCCACCATGCCCCGCTAGAGTGTATGTATGTGTAAGGCCAGTGCTTTGTACAAGTACTCACAATATAATTTATAAAGAGTGGGTTTGCCTCTTGATCACATAAAATGCTAGCTGGTCACTATGTTGGGGTGTACATTCCGTTAAAAGGTATGTAATTTTCTCGAATCTATTTTTCTTTATGCTGGTCAGCACAATCAGAGGAAAAAAGTAATTTACTAGATTCCTTAGAGATTACTTTAAGTGTCAATTTAAAAAAAATTAGTTTAGCCTGTTCATTCTATCCTCTCTTTTGATAACCTAGACATCATTCTACATTAATTTTTCAAGTAGAACTCTAATCACATTATTTTTCAAAATTTTTAACATTTCTCCATTGTTTACCAAATTAAATACAAAGACTGGCATTGTCAGGAATGGTGGCCCACGCCTGTAGCCCCTTCGGGAACTGAGGCAGGAGGATCGTAGTGAGTTTGAGGCCAGCCTGGACTACATAAGACCTTGTCTCAAAAAAAAAAAAAAAAAAGACTGGCATTCAATGCTTTTCACAAAAATAACCCCCGCCTATCTTCCTATTTCCAGGGGCGCATGCACGTGCACACACACACACACACACACACACACTCTCTCTCTCTCTCTCTCTCTCTCATTCCCTCACCAGGCCCTGGTCAGTAAGCAACAGTGGGTTAACTGTTGCCGCAGAGGTAGAGGAGGAGCAGAAGAAAATAATCAGTTTCATTCCTCAACTCCAGCTGAGAGGCTGGGAAGTAAACACTACTCAATTAACTTCCAGAAATATAGAGCTGACTAGGCATGCCTTTTTTTTTTGGTGACAGGGTCTTGCTGTGTAGTTCAGACCAGCCTTAAACTCCCTATACAGTCCGGGCTAGCCTCGAACTTGCAGTGATCCTCCTGCCTCAACCTCTCAAGTGCTAGGATTACAGGCGTGAGTCATTGTGCCTGGCTTGTTATTTATACTTACTCTTTATAGTGCGTAATCTAAACTCCTTAGCATGGAATTCAAGGCTCCTCATGATCTATTCACACCCACTTTATCATCTTCACCTTTTTACCCCTGCTTTCCATACTATGCTCCAGCCATGAGACAATGTAACTCTCGCTGATCCGGAGGCAAACAGACAGGTTTTCGGATTAACCCTAGTTAATGGACAGCAGCCTTACACAGTTCTTCCCTGACCAGCCAGTGAATTCTTTGTTGAAAAGTTTCTTTCCAGCTGGGAGCGGTGACACCTCCTTGTAATCCCAGCACTGTAACAGGCTAAGATTATCACGGCAAGTTCAAGCCCAGTGTGGGAATCTGCTTCAAAGCCAGGTGTGGTGGTGCACACCAGGAGGACTGCCAGGAGTTGGAGGCCAGCCCGGGCTACATTGTGAGTTCAAGGCCAGCCTGAACTGCATAGCGAGACCCTGTCTCAAAAAAAAGAAGGGCCTGGAGTGCAGCTTAGTGCAAAGGCCCTGGTTCAATTGCCAGTGTTTCGTCTAATATTTTGTGGTCCCAGTAGGCTGTTTTAAAACATTCTTTTGGATCTTGTTCCCAACTTAAATGATTGGTAAACAACAGAAGACACTCCAACTTGGCGATGCATTGTGTGTAGTAATTTCTAGTAGCAGAGTGGATGTTTCACATGACTAGAATCTCATACATCGTTTATACATCATACATCCTGACTCTTCTAGGATGTGGATGGCACTTGAGCTCTGTGGAGACAAAGGGGTGAAATGTGGAGCCACAGAGGTGTGAGAGTAGTTAGCTGAGGCAGACCTGATTGCACTGAGGGCTGGCTGTGTGCTGAAGAGAATGGAGTGGCACTCTCTTATTTCCTAAAACTTTCACTCTGCTCATGCTTCTCATTTCCTTCTCCACTCTTTGTCTCTGCTGTCATATGACCAGCATCTTAAGGTTACAAAGCCAATTCCTTCGCTTCCTGCCCTTCTCTGCATCGCAGCTCTTCAGTTTGGTAGGCATCAACCCTCAGCATTAGTCACCTGGGGAGCTTTAAAAAAAGCTACTGGTGACGGGGTCTAACCCATGTTTAATGAACTGGCCTAGGGCCGAGCAAGAGCACTGGCTGTATCATTAAGAAAAAAAGCGCTGCTTCCCTGCATATTCCAATGAGCTCACAAGGGTGACTTGTGCTCTTGATATGAAGCATTAGCATCCCTAACCCCTGAATCATCCACTTCCTGGCTCCACAATACCCCAAAGTCTCCCACCTTTAAAGATTTCTTGTAGCTCACATCCTAGTTCCTCATTTCGCTCACTCTTTACAACGAATCTTATAAGAAGATATGGAAGTCTACGCCTGCGTAGTTTCCATAATCTAACATAAATTTTTTTACTTTCCAGGCTGGACTGTCAGGTGCTTTTGTCCCGCGTCATTCTCTCCATCCTATCTCCTCTCTCATTTCTTTGAACAGCTCCTGCTGCTCGCTAGTCCTTTACTTATTTTTTGTTCGCTTGTCTTTTAACACACGTGTTGGAGAGACCCAGAGAGAATCCTGTATAATTCCACTGTGCTCTCTCATCATCTTCTACAGAGCAGAGCACTTAAAAAACTATATTCATTTCATTCGCTTTTGACTTTCTGGAATTTAAGGCACAGAAACCAGGGAGTGAAAAGTCTGAGGAATGAATGGAAAGACATACTCGCGGGCCGGGGAGGGGAAACGGGGGAGGGGGCGTACTTGTGTGCAAAGGGGCGGGGGCTACGAGGGGCGGCGCCGCCAATCCAGAGCCGGAAGGGGGAGGGGACGCGGACACGCGAGAGTCTGCGTGGGCGGCCAAGACAAAGTGAGACAAACCCAAGTGGGTAGGAGGCTTCTTACCTGCCTCGGGCCTCACCACCCCAACCAGCCTTCAGGCGCCTCTGATTAGCCGGAAAGTGCGCCCTAAGGTCGCAAACCCAGTTTTCTTTCCCAACCTTGCGACATTCCTGTCTCGCAGAGGGAAGAGTCCGACGCTCAGTTCATAGTCCTGTCGTAAGTGGAGGAAGACACGTTGGGGCGGGACCGCCCGGGGCGGAGGAAATGGGGTGTGTCCGCGCAGGCGCGTGCCGTGCGCCTCGGCGGCGTCACGTGCGGGGGCGGGGTCGGGCGGGGCTGGTGCGAGGGGGCGTGGGAGGT